GGAAAGGGGTGTGGGGGATGCGAGAAGAGACTGGACAAAAATCGTGCACCTATGGATGAGGACAGTGGGTGGGGAGTGAGGGCAGAGGGTGGGGTGGGAACTGAAGGAGGGGAGTTATGGTGGGAAAAAGAGGAACAAATGTAATAATCTGAAGAATAAAGATTTAATTTTTTTTAAAAAAAGGGAGTAAAGATGGATGCTTGGAGTAATCATATGTATTTGAATTGTGCAACTAACTCCCTTTTTAAAAAAACTTGAGTATATACTTCCTGGAGGGACTGGTGTATTTGCTTTACAGGTCAGGGTACATTTACCCCAATGCCTGGAGCTAGTGCCTATTTAGATTTTGTATTTTTCTATGCTTTCTTTGCTGATCAAAACCTTTGATTCACTCTACTTTTTAAAATTACATAAGTAAAATGTGTTTCTTTAGTTGTTATCTCTTTCATCAGATTAATCTTCTATTGCTTGCCTACAGGCCATTTTATCACTCAAGTAAATTGCCTTTCTTGATTTATAGCTCACCTCATTGTATAGGGGTGAGGCAGGGGATGGCAACCTTCTGAATAATTCTATGGGGACACTTCATTTTGGCCAGTGAGAATGGTTGCCAGATTAAAATAGGGGATGCCAAATTAAATTCAGATAACAAATTTTTTAGCTTAAGTATGCCCAAATATTACATGAGGTATATTTTATTCTTTAAACAATATACATTGTTTATGTAAATTTAAAATTTAACTGGTGTCCTGTATTTTTATTTGCTAAACTTGGCAAGCCCACGAATACATCTACAGGAGACTATAAAGCTAGCCTAAATTTATGCTCTTCGGTGAGCACCAATCCATTCGGTTGTCTTAGGGAACAAAAATCCTTCCTAGTAAAAAATTGTTTAGGTTTCCCTAACCGGTTTGGCTCAGTGGATAGAGCGTCGGCCTGAGGACTCAAGGGTCCCAGGTTCTATTCCGGTTAAGGGCATGTACCTTGGCTGTGGGCACATTCCCAGTAGGGGGCGTGCAGGAGGCAGCTGATCGATGTTTCTAGCTCATTGATGTTTCTAACTCTTTATCCCTCTCCCTTCCTCTCTGTAAAAAAAATCAATAAAATATATATTAAAAAAATTGTTTAGGTTAACAGTAGGTTGCGCTGACACGGAAGATTTTTTTTTTAACTTGAAGCATGCATAGAATGACTTTTTAGTTTATTGAGAGATACTTTGTGCCCTGGATTCTTTTTTTATTATTATATTTTTATTGATTTTTTACAGAGAAGAAGGGAGAGGGATAGAGCGTCAGAAACATCGATGAGTGAGAAACATCCATCAGCTGCCTCCTGCACACCCCCTACGGGGGATGTGCCCGCAACCAAGGTACATGCCCTTGACGGGAATCGAATCTGGGACCCCTTCAGTCCGCAGGCCAACGCTCTATCCACTGAGCCAAACCGGTTAGGGTGACACGGAAGAATTTTGATCCTTTGAGGAACCCGTAAGGACGCAAGTGCTGTAAGTGCTGCTTTGATTGAGCTTCCCGCCCCCTTCATTCTTCTCTTCCATCTACTAGAATGATTTCTCTACTTTTCCTTCCTTCTCAAGTCCCGCCCTTTCAGCTACCCGCTCTGGATAGCAATCGGTTGCCCAAAAAGGGCCGGCAAAAGTGGGCGAGGTGTTCAGAGGAGCGGAAGTAGTCAAATTTCGCTGAGAACCGGAAAGTGCTGCTGGCTGTCTCCCTTTCCGGAGAACGAATACAGCTCCGCCTGTCAGTGCCGGCCTTCCTCCTGTAAGGGATCTGCCGATCCAGCTAATTCAATTTTCCCCCCATTCCGGGCCCTTCCCCATCGTCGCCCCCTTCACCTTGGATCATGTTCAAGAAGTAAGGACATGGTGTGGCCTCCGTCCGCTGCTCACAAAGGTGGTGGGGGTGGGAGGTGGGGAAGAGGGCGAGAGCAAAGATCCTCTTTCTCTCTCCCCCGCCCCTGCCATCCTTACCCCCTAAGGTTTTCTATAGTACTATGCTCTCACTCGCAACTTACAACACTTCTTTAAGCTTTCCATCCCTAATCCTCAGTCGGGTTTCGGTCCTCCCACCTTTATTTTCTTTACCCTTACCGCCCCTCTTTCTCTTTTGCTCCCTCTCCCAATACTATTTCCATTTCCAGGTTCTTCCAGTCACATCCTTGCACTGTGATTTAAGGGTATATCCTCTTTAGCTAATAGGAGAGCCATGCATTCACCGCCGTCTGTTTATTAGTTATGAACTGAATAAGGGAAGGCTTGACTTCCTGGGTCATGGGAGTGAAGGAGTCTGGGTGACAGGAAGCAAGCGGGCTGTCATGCCTATTGTTTAGCTGCCAGATTAACCTTGTCTTGAAAAGAGCGTGATTGCTCCATAGGCTATTCAGTGTAAGGAAGACAATTCCTTGGGAACCTATCTTTTCGGTAGACGCAAAAAGCCAAGGGGAAACATGGGCCAAGGAAGGTGGGTTTTGTTCATGACATTTTGAGCAAAAATAAACAGGGATCTTAGAAATCATCATCATTATCATCATGAATTTTTTAAAAAATCTCAGTAGATTACATAGTTTAGCAGGGACCGATTTTCTGTTATACTTGCGTTGGGCTTCCGTATCTCAATGCTTGAGGGCTCTTTTGTTTTGGTTTGCCCCCCCCCCTTTGTTATAGGTGGAAATCTGTGTTTCTTCCTGGGTAGAGACCAGTAAGATTTTCTAAAACAGGCATTTGTGTAGCTGATTACAGGTTATAATGTGAAATATGCCTCATATCCCCCCCCTCCCCAGCTAATTGTGTATGTATGACAGCTTATTTTAATATTGTAATAAGACGTTGGTTGTGCTGGACAGAATAAAAGGTAAATAGTATTTTTAAAATCAACTTATTTCATTATTATTTTAGGCATCTAAATACTTGCTTGGGAATATATGACTAATTAAAACACTACCTTTACTAGTAGCTGTTCTGATATGTTTACTTTTTCTTTTTTTCTTTCAAAAATCATTTGGAAGATTTGATGAAAAAGAAAATGTGTCCAATTGCATCCAGTTGAAAACCTCAGTTATAAAGGGCATTAAGAACCAATTGATAGAGCAATTTCCAGGTATTGAACCATGGCTTAATCAAATCATGCCTAAGAAAGATCCTGTCAAAATAGTGCGATGGTAAGTCTTTATTTTTCTCTATGTAAAGCTCAGGCCTAAGTAGTTGAATATTGTATGATTAGATTGCACCCATAATAAATGGAATTATTTTCACATTAATTATTGATAGATTATGAGAGTAGATAAATATACTCTAAGCAATATTTATATTTTCAGTTGTTTTTCTATATGAAAATATGTACTGATTGTTTTATCAGTTAAATGTTTAGAGTTGAATTTAATTTATTTCATTTGTACTTTAGAGATTTGTTTTATTGAATTACCTAACAATGAAATTTACAATATGTGAAATAAAATTGAGTGTAGAAGCTCATATTTTTTTCTCTACACTGGGCTGGCATGCTAGGTAAAAGAGATAAACAATTCTTTTGGCCTGGATCTTTATTGAAAAAAATTTGAAAAGCTTATTGTATCTCTGTATATACATGTTTCATATTATACATTATTTAAAGGCTATTTGGCATATTAATTTTAGAAAGAAAATATCTAACTTGTACTTTGTGACATTTGTCTTACAGCCATGAACATATAGAAATCCTTACAGTAAATGGAGAGTTACTATTTTTTAGACAAAGAGAAGGACCTTTTTATCCAACCCTAAGATTACTTCACAAATGTAAGTCTTATTAGAAAAGACTTATTGGGGGATATTGAAAGACACAAAAGGAGCTGAAAGTGACTTCTGGTGTTAACTTATTTATTAGTACTAGGTAATATGGAATATAAAAGTAAAATGAATTCCCATCTTGTGGTAAATCTGAAAAATGCAGATTCTCTCATTATGCATTCCAGAAAGACCAAGAACGAATATTCATTCATTCATTCATTCATTCAACAAATATTTATTGAACTTACTGTGTGCCAGACTTGGTCCCTGTCCCTATGAAACTAACAGTCTAGTTGGGAGAATAGACAACAATTACATAATTACACAAGTATATATTCACAAACTGTGATAAGTACTCCGAGCATTTTCTTTTAAATTTATACTTAAATTTGCCTCATAGAGATAATTCTCTATAAGGGAAAGCATTGTCTAATTGTTGAAGTCAGTTATTGTTAGTTGAGTGCCAAGTTCAGGTGTTATTAAACAAAATAATGTTTATAACCTACCCACTTTTGCATATTAGACTGAGTATATTACAAAAATATCCAGAGGAAGATACAATCCCAGTGCCCAAGAAGTTTTAAATGTGAAGTAAAACTTCTGCTCTTCAAACCAGTATGCATATCTGGCCTCCTAGCCAAGAGGCAGAAAGGAAGGGAGTGACTGGAGAGGTCTGTAGGTGGTATTTGTGACTTAATTAATGAATTTGATTTTTGGTAAGAGGAGATAAATTTCTCATTACTTAGTGAAGCAGAGGTCCAGAGCAGTAAAGCTGTTAGGCAAGTTTTTAAAAAGGTGAAGCATTTAATTTAATTTAATTTATTTTTAAATTTTTTTTATTTATTTTTAACTTTTTAAAAAATATGTTTTTATTGATTTTTTTAGAGAGAGAGGAAGAAAGAGAGATAGAGAGATAGAAACATGGATGAGAAAGAAACATCTATCAGTTGCCTCCTGCATGGCCCCCTGCTGGGGATCAAACCCACAACCCGGGCATGTGCCCTGACTAGGAATCGAACCCGAGACCTCTTGGTCCATGGGTCCATGCTCAACCACTGAGCAACACTGGCCAGGCTATTAATTTGAAAGAGAGGGAGAGAGAGATGGAGGGATGCGGGGGAAGGAGCAAGGGAGAGAGAAAGAAAAACATCAATTTGTTCCACCCATCCATGCATTCATTGGTTATAGATGAAGCATTTTAATATTTATAAAGGGATATTTACAATTATTTGATTAAGTATTGATTTCATCAAGTTAAAAACCTATAATGGACAGAAATTGAGTCCTGATGCAATGCGGAAAAGCTTAAAATAAAAATATTTTGGTGACATTAAGACATTTTAATGACATTAATTCCTACTCAACTAAAAGAGAATAGAAACAAAATAATCAAATATAGTACATGAATCTAGATTGGTTTGAAAAACAAACTAAATTCAAGCCCTCCTTCTCCTCCAAAAAAAGATATAAAAGACTTTCTTGGGACTATTGGGAGAAATTTGCATATGGTTTGTTTATAAGATGATATTGCAGAACTGTTGTTAAATTTTCAGGTGTGATAATAGTGTTGTGGTTATGTAGGAGAATGACTTTATTCTTAGGTGGTGTGTGCTCATTTTGGTGAAGCATTATGTCTAAAGTTTAAAATACAGGAAAAATATGATGTCTGCTTAAACCAGGGGTGGGCAAACTTTTTGACTCGAGGGCCACAATGGGTTCTTAAACTGGACCGGAGGGCCGGAACAAAAGCATGGATGGAGTGTTTGTGTGAACTAATATAAATTCAAAGTAAACTTCATTACATACAAGGGTATGGTCTTTTTTTTCAATAGTTTTATTCATTTCAAACGGGCGGATCCGGTCCGCGGGCCGTAGTTTGCCCACTGCTGGTTTAAACATAAAGAGATAAAGCAAATATAGCAAACATTTGTTAATGAACAATTGTTGAATTTTTTTCTTTTAGATAAGCAAACAATAATTTATTGACCACAGCAGCAAAATGGTTCGCGACCCCTTTGGCGGTCAAACGACCCTTTCACAGGGGTTGCTAAGACCATCAGAAAACACATATATAAGTACATATTGTTTTTATGAGTAATCACTATGCTTTAATTATGTTCAATTTGTAACAATGAAATTGGGGGTTATCACAACATGAGGAACTGTATTAAAGGGTCGCGGCATTAGGAAGGTTGAGAACCACTGGCATAGAAGCAGCAGCAGGAGAGCCGAGGCTGGGCTGCTTTGGCTCACTAGGAAGTCAGAGAAAAGAGGTCCTTGGAGACAGGTTCAGGGGGTTAGTCTGGGATGAGCTGCCGCTGCCCATTGCTCCCCTGGTTGCAAGTCTTATGGGGTCCCGTAGAGGCTAGGAGATATGTGCCTGTGAGGCGAGTAGAGGGGGAATGGAATGGCATGGGCATGCTTCCTGGAGGGAGAGCACCAATTGTTCAATCTAAGTGGATAGTGTCCAGGTGTTCATTCTACTATTCTTCCAGTTTTTCCATATGTTGAGGAAAAGTCCTAATAAGCTAGAGAAAAAGATGTTCCTATTTAGTAGTATTTTTCTGGGAGCCAACCTTTTAGAGCATCTTAAAGTTATTTTTGTGCAAGAAGCAGGATACTATGGTGGTTAAAAGCATGAACTTGGAGTTAGGGAGACCTGGGTTCAATTTCCAGTGGATTTCTTTTGTCAGGTCACTCAACCTATCTAAATCTTGTTTCTTTATTTTTTAACTAGTGGCCTGGTGCACAAAACTCGTGCATGGGGGCACGGGGGAGGGGGGGGGAGTTGGTGGTGGGCCCTCAGCCCGGCCTGCACCCTCTCCAATCTGGGACCCCTGGAAGGATGTCCAACTGCCAGTTTAGGCCCGATCCCAGTTGGACATCCCTCTCGCAATCTGGGACTGCTGGCTCCTAACCACTCGCCTGCCTGCCTGATTGCCAATAACCACTCTGCCTGCCGTCTTGCTCGCCCCCAAGTGCCTCCCCCCGCCCCCCACTGGCCTGCTAACCTCCAACTGCCACCCCCCCGGCTTGCCTGATCACCCACAACTGCCCTCCCCTCTTGGCCCCTAACTGCCTCTTCCTCAGCCCCACCACCATGGCTTTGTCCAGAAGGTCTCCTGGAAGGTCTCCCAGTCTAATTAGCATATTGCCCTTTTATTAGTATAGATAGAGGCTTGGCGCACAGGTGGGGGCCAGCTGATCTGCCCTGAAGAGGGTCCTGGATCAGGGCGGGGGTCCTCACTGGGGGCGGGGTAGCCCAGCATGTGCCTTCTCCCAGTCTGGAACCCCTCAGGGGATGACCACCTGCTGGTTTAAGCCCACTCCCTGGGGAATTGGGCCTAAGCTGTCAGTCACACATCCCTCTTGCAGCCCGGGGACCCTCAGGGGATGGCCACTTGCTAGCGGGGAGCAGGCCTAAGCTGTAGTCGGATATCCTTAGCATTCCTGAGGAGTCAGGAGGGGGAGAGGGCCGTTTTCAGGCTGGCCACACCCACTTCAGGGTGGGGGTCCCTGCTGTGGTACCTGGCCAGCCTGGGTGAGGGCTGAGGGATGGCTAATTTTCATGTTTCTCTTTATTGTAGATAGTGGACACAGTGTTTTTTTTTAAAAAAATATATATTTTACTGATATTTTATAGAGAGGAAGGGAGAGGGATAGAGAGTTAGAAACATCAATGAGAGAGAAACATCAATCAGCTGTCTCCTGCACACCCCCTACTGGGGATGTGCCCGCAACCAAGGTACATGCCCTTTACCGGAATTAAACCTGGGATCCTTCAGTCTGCAGGCTGATGCTCTATCCATTGAGCCAAACCGGTTAGGGAGGACACAGTGGTTTTTAATATGGACATATATTATAGGTTGTGAGGATTAAATGAGATAGTATATGTAATGTAGGTAACACAGCATCTAAAATGTAGTAAGTGCTCATAAATGGTAACCATTATAATGATTTAGTAATTGTTTATACAGTGTGCACTAGCACTAATTATCATCATCATCATCATCATCATCATCATCATCATCATTAAAGGGTAGCTGTCCAGCTGTTAATGAGGATGGAGATCTGGAAAACAAATTATGGCTTATGAATAATAAATATATTCATTCACATTCCTTTTCTTTTAAGCCTTAGGAGCTAGGCATTATTTTTTAAAATATATTTTTTATTTATTTTCAGAGGGGAAGGGAGAGGGAGAGAGAGATAGAAACATCAATGAGAGAGAACCTTGATCGGCTGCCTCCTGCACACCCCACACTGTCAATTGAGCCCACAACCCAGGCATGTGCTCCGATCCGGAATCAAACCATAACCTCCTGGTTCTTAGGTCAACGCTCAAGCACTGAGCCATGCCGGCTGGGCTGTGTTTTTTTAATTTTAAATCCTCACATGAGAATGTATTTTCCATTGATTTTCACAGATTGGAAAGGGGGAGAGAGGTAGAGAGAGAAACATCGATGTGAGAGCGACACATCAACTGGTTGCCTCCCTCATGCGCCCGACCTGGGGGCCAGGGACTCGAACCTGCAACCGAGGTATGTGCCCTTGACTGGAATTGAACCCAAGACCTTTCATTGCTTAGGCCTGGCACGCAGGCCAACGCTTTAACCAGTGAGCCACGCCAGCCAGGGCCATTCATGTTCCTTTTTATCAGTAAGTTGTTTAAATTAATTTGGAGTCATGTTTAAATTAATTTGTAGTGTTATTATCTGATAAGTGTGATGGGTACTGGTAAAACATTAAAGTGAATAAATCTTACCAATTATTGTTGTTGTTATTCCTAGAGAGCCCTGAGAGGCCTAAGAAGTTTCCCCCCAAGCATTGTTTAAAATCCTCCAGGGACCCTTTCATTGTTAGGTTATGAATTATTTGTAGATACACACACAAAAATATTTTTTAAGACTACAAAATGAATATGTGTTCATCCTAGATATCAGGAAAATATAGAAATAAAATTACCTGTATTCCCGTGACCTAGAGATAATCATTGTTAACATAGCGGTATACTTCCATCAGTTATTTCCTGTATGGTGTGTGTGTTTGTATGTATGTGTAAATGTGTATATTTTTCCATTTTAAGTTGGGCTCTCTGTTATATAGTTTTTTTTTAAATTAATAGACTTATTTTTTAAAACAGTTTTAGGTTTACAGGAAAACTAAGCAGAAAGCAGAGAGTACCCACCCTTCTCTTATTATTAATATGTTGCATTGATGTGATACAGTTTTTACAATTGATGAACCAATATTGATACATTATTGATAACCAAAATCCATAGTTTACATCAGGGTTCATTTTTTGTCTTGTACATTCTGTGGGTTTTGCCAAATGAATAATGGTCACTGTTAAAGTATCATATAGAATAGTTTCACTTCCCTAAACATCCTCTGTGCTTCACCTATTCATCCCTCTCTTCTGCCTCTCCCCTAGCAACCACTGATATTTTTGGTAATTTTTCATTCTGCTTTTCCGTTTTAACATTATATTATGAACACTTCCCAGGGTGTTATGTATTCTTCAAGAACATGGCTCTATTATATAGATGTTGTAGATACATCTTAAGTCATATATTGCTTACTTTATTTTTGGACATTTAAGTTGATTCCAGTTTATTTCTATTATAAATATTAGTGTGGCAATGAATATCTTTCTAAGTATATTGTACATCTCATTTTTTCTTAGAATAAAATCTTAGAAGTCGAATTACCAAGTCAAGAGATTTTGAACCTTTTTAAGGCCGTTGATACATGTTGCCAAGTAGTTCTAAGGAAAGGTTGTAGTAATTTATAAGCCTTCTAGCAGTATATGGGAATGCCAGTTTTCCTACACTCTTGCTAGTACTGGAAATTACTTTTCTTAAAAATATTTACTAATTTCTCTGAATCTATTTTTGTTCATTAGTTTATGTTATTCATTAGATTCCAAATATGAGTGAGATCATGTGATATTTATCTTTCTCTGACTGGCTTATTTCACTTAGCATAATGCTCTCCAGGTCCATTCTTGAGGGAAGAGTGGGTGGGTGGGAAGAGATCAACCAATGAACTTGTATGCATATATGCATAACCCATGGATACAGACAATAGGGTGATGAAGGCCTGGGGTCGGGGTGGGGGTGGGCTGAAAGAGTTAAAGAGGAAAAAAGGGGGACATATGTAATACTTTCAACAATAAAGATTTAATAAATATTGGTAAGAGTACTTGCTAATTTGCTAAGTGAAGGATGGTATTTCAGTTTTATTTTGCATCTGTCAGAGTACTGTAATTTTGGGAAATATTTGTCTATGTCCTTTGCCTTTTTTTTCTGATGAGTCATTACTCTTATTAATTTATGTAATGTATTTATTTTCTTCTAGATCCCTTTATCTTGCCACACCAGCAGGTTGATAAAGGAGCCATCAAATTTGTACTCAGTGGAGCAAATATCATGTGTCCAGGCTTAACTTCTCCTGGAGCTAAACTTTACCCTGCTGCAGTAGATACGATTGTTGTATCCTTCTCAGGCTCTAACTGTTGAAAAACATATATTTATGTCATTACTGAAAGATCTATCATCCAAAGGAACAGTAGATGTACTTTTTTGGAGGTGACTGTTACTATTACCTCATGCCTTTCTGGTTACATTTGAAAATGTGGGAAGTAACATTATTTCTTGAGATTAAATTGTGACCCAATTTAGAAATTAAAAGAGAACCGGTAATAAAAGAGTCCCAGCTGCATTTCAGCCTAGTTAGGGCCCAAATGTTATCAGATTCAGGACACAGTATAAAACTCTTGGTTATTAATGGAGAGGATATATCTGATATGATTGGACCACTTCTTTGGACATCAGTTTGCTACTTTTATGTTTGACATTGGAATGAAAGGACTCAAAGGGAAAAGAACATAGGTAACAGGTAGAGTGCTAAAAGTAGGTAAAGTGAGTAGTGGAAAATGCTGGCAATTCCCAACTTTTAAAGTTCATTTTAAATTGGTTGTTTGGGCCTCAGAATATGATTTCTAAAAGAGAAATTAATGTTCAAGTCCTAGATAATCCTTAAAGATCTATTCAACTCAGAGCTGAGTAATTCTGCATTATTTCCATTCAGGTATATGGTGCTGTGTCAGCTATATTCTAAATTAAATAGGTTTTTGCCAACTTTGTCATAGATAAAGTGGCCATTTGCCTCAAGTTGAGAGAAGGAACCATACATGGTGGGAATGGGGAATCACTGTGGAGTGGAAAGGCTATTGGAATGGGTTTAAGAATGTGTCTTGTATTCAAAAGGAGGCTGTCCTCTGTTGTGGAAGTTATATCTAAGGGGTAGTATAAGTTGTATGTTTATATCTTAGGAATAGTTTGTATTGACATAGATACTGGTCACATAATAGGTGCTTAAATATTTGTGGAACATTGAATGAATTGATTAAAAATCGATGGAGAAAAGTATTCTGTAAAAATAGGTTACCTTTTTATGTTTATGATTTTTCTAAGTGTTGCAAGTTTAGAGTTGTGGAGTTCCTTTTTTTGTTGTTAATCTTCACCAAAGGATATTATTTCCCATTGATTTTTAGAGAGAGTGGAAGGGAGGGGGAGAGACAGAGAAACATTGATATGAGAAAGACACATGGATTGGTTGCCTCTTGCAGGTGCCCCAACCAGGGCCAGGGTCTAGCCTGCAACCGAGGTTTGACTGGGAAAATCCATCCCTGAACCCTTCAGTCCTCCGGCCAACACTCTAATCACTGAGAAAAACAGGCTGGGGCCTGGAGTTCCTTTAAATGGGAAATTTTCCTAATACTTAGACTTTATTTTTAAAATAATTTTTTATTTTGAAATAATTGTAGGCTTTTAGAAAGTTGCAAAGCTAGTACAAAGGGTACTGTGTATCCTTGAACCATTACTTTTAAAAATATGTACTGCAGTGTTTAACATAGATGCTTCAAATGATAACCAAAAATGCTCTGTTTGTTCTAGGTTGACACTTGCTTACATTGGACTCTTAAAGATAGACTAGATATATAATTATTGTTTTACTGTGTCCTTTACGTAAAACCACCATTCAATGGTTAAAACATTAGAACAATTGATATTTATTTATTTCACAGTTTTTAATATTTAGGTTCAAAAATTCCTTTTTTTGCATCACTTATTCTGGTTTTGTTGGCTTTAGGTTATAGTATTAACATCTGACTTAAAAACCAAGAATAATTATTAGATTCATTAATATAGCATTTATTGAGTATTTATTCACAGTGTGCACAGAGACTCTGATAGGTCCCTGCCCTGAAGGAGTTATTGGTGTAGGCAAGGATATGAGATGGTTCAATGTGGCTTAACTAGTAATGTGATCATTATTTGACACTACCTCTCCAAGGCATTTTGAAAAATATTTCTTAGCTGTGTGTTTCCAGGCCATCATGGCAGAAGGAAAACAGCATGCTCTGTGTGTTGGGGTCATGAAGATGTCTGCAGAAGATATGTAAGTCTCATGTTAGGCCTCCTTAGCTTTTGAGATATGGGTAACCTATCTCAAAAGCATCAGAATGACAGGGGAAATTTGCTCTCATTCATACCACATCTTAAGAAGCCTCATTTCTGATTTTTCCTAACACTTAGAAAGCCAGTGAAACATATTTTGTCTCTGGGATTGCATTCTTTTTTAAGCACTCTGAAAAGAACCCGTGTGCCAATGTAACTTTTGTATGTATGTATGTATGTATGTATGTATGTATGTGGCATTTTAGGAATTTTTTATTTAGTATGATTTAAATTAGGTGGAAGGAAAGATGTTTTGCTACAAATTTTTTAAAATATATTTTATTGATTTTTTACAGAGAGGAAGGGAAAGGGATAGAGAGTTAGAAATGATGAGAGAGAAACATCGATCAGCTGCCTCCTGCACACCTCCCGCAATCAAGGTACATGCCCTTGACCAGAATCGAACCGGGGACCCTTCAGTCCGCAGGCTGATGCTCTATCATTGAGCCTAACCAGTTAGGGCTTGCTACAAATTTTTAAAACAGTGACATAGTTTGTTACCACACAGTATTTGTCTTATATTTTGACCTAGTGGTATAGAATAGTAAGGAAATATTAAATATATATTGTCAAAATGTAGATATTTAAGAACTTTGCAACTCAATTGAAGAATACATTATTGCTATTAATTTCATTTCAGGGTTAGTTGTAAAAAAAAGATGTAAATCTCCATTCTGAATGGGAGACTGCAGTCATGTCTTGATTCCCTATTTTGTTTCCATTAATATTAACCTCATTAACTTACTGGGCACTAAATATATAACTATATGTATTGTGTGTAATTAATGCTATTAACTTTTCAATATCTTTGCATATTTCTTCTTATTACTGCCTTACTTTAAATCCATAAATCTGAAATTTCTGGTTCATAGTACTAGCATTGTTTAGGATTTTTAATGCATATTTCTAAACTATATTCCAGAACATCTACAACTTTTTAAACTTAATTAGTATTGTGTGAATATTCCCATAGTTCATACCAACTGAATTATATATCTCCTTTTAGTTTGCCTAATCAATGTGATTAAAATTATGCTATTCTATAATGTTAAAAAAATTTGTAACACTTTGATTTTCTCCTGATATGTTGACACATTATTACTCTGTTTCTATACACCCAATAGGTCACTAGAATCACTGTAAGACATGAATTGCCCCAGAGTAATGTAGTTTAATGTAGACAGTAATGTGAGTGTAATATAAATAAATTCCCTACATGTAACTCAATAATTGCAAAATAGCAATGCACTTTGAATTATATTTACCATGACTAAGCCTACAAAAATGCACAACGATATGTTTATGTGCTTTTTTCCTTCTACAGTGAGAAAGTCAACAAAGGAATTGGCATTGAAAATATCCATTATTTAAATGATGGGCTGTGGCATATGAAGACATATAAATGAGCCTCAGAAGGAATGCACTTAGGCTAAATATGGATATTGTGCTGTATCTGTGTTTGTGTCTATGTGTGACAGCATGAAGACAATACCTCTGTAGTTGTGCTGAATAAATTCAAAAGATGCTAAAATTCTGTTAGCTTCAAAAATTATTTTAGTTTTTCTTAAACTCCAGTTAAAATTGGGTAGGAACAAACTTGGACATTAAAAGGTATCTGGTAAGTAACCAAACTCAGACAACTTCATGTCCTTTCTTAGGCTAATGATGTACTGTAAGATGAAGGGCAGGACTTGATAAATGAACTTGCCAGTATACGGTTGACCACCCCCCCCCCCCCGAGAATCTGCCAACTTCATGAGGCTGGAAACTAATTGGGAATTTTATCCCATTATCCCAGGACACCTAGAAGTGCCCCTTCTCTTTTTGTGTGTTGTTTGTTCATTGTTGTTTTTAAACTTTTCATGATGGGAAATTCCATACATATACAAAAGTATGGGGAGAATAGTATAATGGACCTTTTCTATATCCATCACCTAGCTTCAATTCATAATCAGTTTTATTTCATCTATATCTCACTTATTCCTTCCTGCCCCAGTCCCTGATTATTTTGAAGCAAATCTCAGATATATAATTTTATCCATAATTACTTTAGTATGGATCTTTTCTTTTTTTTTTTTAAATATATTTTATTGATTTTTTACAGAGAGGAAAGGAGAGAGATAGAAATAGAGAGTTAGAAACATCGATGAGAGAGAAACATCGATCAGCTGCCTCCTGCACATCCCCCACTGGGGAAGTGCGCGCAACCCAGGTACATGCCCTTGACCGGAATCAAACCCGGGACCTTTCAGTCCACAGGCCGACGCTTTATCCACTGAGCCAAACCAGTCTCGGCTAGTATGGATCTTTTAAAAGATAGTGGTTTTCTTTTAAAAAAACACAAACATAACCACAATGTAGTTGTTACACCTAAAAAATGTAACTGTTTCTTAATCAAATATCTGGACAGTGTCCAAATATGTGACAAATTGACTTGATTGCCTCTTTTTAAATTTTTTTAAACTGTTGGTTTGCTTGAAACAGAAACCAGACAAGGTCCATTTATTGCATTTGGTTGTTATTTATTGAAATCTCTTTTAATCTGTAAGTTCCCCCTCTTTCTTTTCCTCTTTATTTAAGAAATTTAGTTGTTTTGTCTTACAGAGTTTCTTCCCACATTCTGGATTTTTGATGATTATATTGCTGTAAAGTAATTTAACTTGTTTTTATGCCCCCTGTCTAGCCTGTAAACAGATAAGAGTAGATTCAGGTTCCATTTACTTAGTGTCCTCTCTTGAAACTATATAGGTGCCAGAACTTCAGATTTGGGTCTCCACTGTATTCCTCAAACAATGTGCATCTTCTATCATAAGTGGACCTACTTCAGTAAGATCAGTAAGCAGTTTTGGGAGTTACATGAGCTGTTATGAACTTATATAGTGATGATAGGCCTTTCTTCCTAATAACCTTGCTGTTATTCTAGTGTCTCAGCCATCTTTATTTGGTTGTTTACAAGTATGTGATGTGGTTTTACTTTTCATATGGATACAGACATTTACAAGCTTGTGGTGGCCTGTGTTACAGTTATAAATTGGTGAGAAAGGTGAGGGACAGAAAAAGAGAGAGACCATTTGGCTGGCTGTTACAGCTGAGCCTCTCAAAATATAACATAGGTGAAGGTAATAGATCCAAGGTCTGACCCTCAGATTGAGAAATGATTTCCCACTAATGAAACTGGTAGGACTTTGAGATTCCTATGTTAGAGTGTAGATGTATTTAGAGTGGTAAGTTTGCTTAGGGTAAACAATTAGTAAACTGGAAGTTTCTTGGTGAACATGGCTAAGAGCAAAGGAAGGTTAATAATTTGGGGGAATATTTCATCTGGGCTGGGGCAAGGCTTAGAAAGGTTTTCCTGCTTCATCATTAATTAGAAGGCTTATGTCTGCCATATTTGTTTCCGAGCCTGTATAGACACCCTGATATTTTACTTCCTGTATCCTTTTTAAGTTATACATAGAATATTTTCCTTTGTTATAACAGTTATATTCTACAGCATACCATATTATTATATTTTATTGTTTATTCCTGATGGATAAAAATGTAAATGATGTCATTAGTACCACATTTATGAATGATCTTTCAGAGTAGGTTTCTTTAAAAGATGTTTCATTTTATGATGACTTACCAATTTCAAATTCAGATACCTGCCCATCTGGGGAAGGAGGGACCCTATTTGAGGCCTATATAGCTCCTTATAGTAGTCTTAAAAAGAGAATATCTGAGTCAGTGTCAAAACTAAACTTTGAAGTGGAAGAGTAAGCATACTTTTTTCCTTCTTTGAAAAGCAGTAAAAACAAAACAAATACTCAACTTGAAACCTTTACTTTTGGTGCTAAGGTAATGTTAATTGACCATGATTGCCTATGGAGTATTAGTAATGAAAAACAAAGCACACATAGTACAGAAATTAAAACCTTGTAATGTCTTGGTTTCTGAAATAAGTTATCCTTTTTTTCTAACCACTGTTATGGTGGGGGTAGGGAATACTTTTTAAATATTCAACATCAGCATCTGTGCTTGTTTTTCTACTATGCTGAGGTACATTGACTGTGTTGCCTTGGTGATGTGGACTAAATATGTATTGTTTCCTGCTTCCTCTGGGTCTGAGGCCTCAGGTCATTGGTGTTAATCAGGGGAGCCTTATCACTTTCTAAACATTAGATCATGCAGGGAACCCAAATCAAAGAGGTTAAACTAACACATGTCAGCCTCTTTAGGCACTATGCTTAAAGGGAACCTAGTTTACCCACATTCCTGAGAGTAGAAATACAGGAAGATTCTGTTTTCTCTTAGGCAATTTAAGTTTCAAAATTAATTTTCTGTCAAGTTAGCCTACACTTATGTATATCTGACACATTTACTCAGGCAAGGTCAGTTCAGCTCAAGGACATTTTGAATATCTCCTAGGTTCTAGGTGATGTGGCATAAAGTTGAATAATACACAAGCGGCCCTTACCCTTAAGGATCTTCCAGTTTAGTGAGTAAATTTAAATTTGAAAAAAATCTGCCCAATGGTGACAGGCCAGTAGGAAGTTACTAAAGCTTTTCCAATTTCAGCCATCAAAATTTGCAAATTACACATGAACCAAATATAAGAATATTCTTTCTATTGTATCCAGTGTAAGAAGGTTTAAAAAATCTAGATGTCTTGGAGTTTGGACAGTTCTGCATTCCCACTGTCCCATTTTGCAGTAATGCAAAGGCCTGATCAACCCTTTTCTAGCAGACTGTTATACTGGTTTTGTGGTTTTCTGTTGGCAGCTACTTTTTTCCTTTTCCTTTTTAAAAAATGTTCTGGATCCAAAACAAGCAGCTGGATTTATCCCAGGGGGTAATCATGAACATTTCAGTTCAAGGTATTTGATAGTCCCCAAACAGAGGTTCATATGGCATTTGTCAAATAATAATGATATCCAGCCACTTCCCTCTCTGTATACAAATCAGCTACTTAGGATATAGTATTTCTAAGCATAGTATTTCAAAAAACTATATAAGAATGACAAATAACTAAATTTGCAGCAGTATTTAATAAATATTTTACTTTTTTGTTGTTCATAAAAATTTTAACGGGAATATGAAATGAATGTATGCCCAAACAAAATGTAAATGTTTTAACTTTTTTTTAAAATTTAAGTTCCTTAATTTTGAGAATATATCTTTCAAGGCTCTTCAGGAAACTCAAAATGTTCCAATTTTCCCCCTATATATTAAATTTATTGGGGTGACACTGGTTAACGAAATTATACAGGTTTCAGGTACACAATTCTACAACACATCATCTGCACACTGTATTGTGTGTTCACCCCCCCAAGTCAAGTCTCTATCTATCACCATTTATCACCCTTATGCCCTCCTCCACCTCCTCCTTTGTCCCTCCCCCAAGCAATCACCACACTTGTTCCTGTCCATGAGTTTTCTCTCTTTTATTTCTTTTTTTGCTCAATCCCTCCACACTCCCAGCCCCAAACCAGTGCCACCCCCACAACAGCTATCAGCCTGCTCTCTATGACTCTGTTTCTATTTTGCTTGTTAGTTTATTTTGTTCATTAGATTCCACATGTGAGTGAAGTCACAGATTTGTCTTTCTCTGACTTATTTCACTTAGTATAATGCCCTCCAGGTCCATCCATGCTGTTGTAAAGGGTAAGGTTCCCTTTCTTCTTCTTTTTTTTACTACCGAGCAGTATTCCATTCTGTAAATGTATCACACCTTTTTTATTCACTCAACTACTGATGGACAGTTGGGCTGCTTCCATATATTGGCTATTATAAATATGCTGCAATGAACATATGGATACATATATTCTTTCAAATTAGTGTTCTGCGTTTCTTCGGATAAATTATCAGAAGTGAAATCACTGGGTCATAAAGTCAGCACCAATTTTAATTTTTTGAGGTAACTCCATACTGCTTCCACAGTGACTGCACCAATCTGCATTCCAACCAACAGTGCACTAGCAATCCATTTTCTCCACATCCTCATCAGCACTTGTTATATTTTGATTTATTGATGACAGCCATTCTGACAGGTGTGAGGTGATATCTCATTGTGGTTTTAATTTGCCTTCCTCTGATGATTAGTGATGGTGAGCATCTTTCATATGTCTATTGGTCATCTATGTCCTCTTTGGAGAAGTATCTACAGTATTTAGGTTTTGTGCTAATTTCTTAATTGGATTTTTTTAGTATTGAGTTTTTTATTAAGATCTTTATAAATTTTGGTTATTAACCCCTATCAGAGTTAATATTGGTGAATATGTTCTACCATTCAGTAGATTGTCTTTTAATTTTTTTAAATATATATTTTATTGATTTTTTACAGAGAGGAAGGAAGAGGTATAGAGAATTAGAAACATCAATGAGAAACATCAACCAGCTGCCTCCTGCACACCCCCTACTGGGTATGTGCCTGCAACCAAGGTGCATGCCCTTGACCAGAATCGAACCTGGGACCCTTCAGTCCACAAGCAGATGCTCTAGCCACTGAGCCAAACCAGTTAGGACAGTCTTTTAATTTTTTTGATGGTTTCCTTT